AAAAAAAAGAAAGAAAGAAACGAAACAAAACGAAAGAAAAAGAAAGAGAAAGAAAGAAGAAAGAAAGAAAGAAAGAAGAAAGAAAGAAAGAAAGAAAGAAAGAAAGAAAGAAAGAAAGAAAGAAAGAAAGAAAGAAAGAAAGAGAAAGAAGAAAGAATCATCTAACCAACAAATCAAGATTTATGGAACATCAAAACAGAGCTAGGAGCACCAACAGTTGATTGGCATTGCTTCTGCTACAGCCTTTGAATTTTCTAAACTTCACTTTCAGGGAAATGCTATATGGTGCACTAGCCCAGTGTGGGGGAAGCATTAACATAGATTGAAAGGACAGAGAAATCCCCTAATTCACGCAAGTATACCCAGCAGGCTGTCAGAAGTCTCCCCTGAATTGCAGTGGAAGCAAAACAACCCCTCGTTCTTGTTTATATTCCCTTTGAGTCTGTCTGCAGATGGCTCCCTGCTGAGGGAGGGGCTTTGGTCTGAATCAAGAAGGAGCGCACTTTCTCAGTTCCTTGGAATGTGTCTCAGGAATACTCTATGTACTACTAATTTTTATTAGTCCACTAAAAGGAACCATTAGCACTTTCATGGTTTGATCAATCTTGCATTCCTGGTAATCTGAACAACTACTTTGAAGATAACAGTGTGTAATATAATAACCATTGGTAATTTCCTATCATCTTGCTTTGAAATTCTGTGGTTTTTTTTATTGTTTTGCTCATTTTTTTAGAAAAAGAAAATTTCTTCCTGACTTTAGATGGGGACATTGATATGTCACATGCTTGCATACTTAGCACGCTGTCACTGCCATCTGTCGGAGTGGCAGTGTGAGAAAGAACTGTCGAGGCAGCAGGCAGTGCAGCACAGCACAGAATGGCACATCCTGGCTTCCAGAAGCTCCAGTGGAGCTCAGGGCAAGGGCCAACGTGGCCACAACTTGCACAGCAGCTGTTCTGCCCAGCTCCTCTCCTTGCACTCCTCTGGTCTGACAGCTCCTGTTCTTCCTGAGAACTCCCTTCTCTGAGCCCATAGCCTGAGGAAACCCTCCTCCTTTCCAAAAACAGAGAGTTTAGGCAGAACCTGAAATGCAAGTTGCTTGACAGCTAAGGATAGCAGTTGTTCTCTCGCCAGCCACAGGATACTGCACACCCATTGACTGGAAGCCGCACCTCCAAGTTCTGCTCCAGGGACAGGGTGCCAAATGGGACTGCCCAGGGGATGACAGGGCACCGGCTCAGCCCACAGGCTGTCCTCACCAAAAGTGCTTTTAGTTCCACTTACACCCAAGAGCGAGCACAGCCGACTGATCAAGGCAGAGAGAACACTGCGACCAGAGCTCAGGTGGACGCCTAGGCCCAGGGAGGCGAATGCAGAGTGACACCACTGTGCTGGGGCTTTCGTTCAGAGTCAGGGCTGGCTTTGGAGAACAGACTGTGGAAAAGTGTTGTTTTTCTCAGGAGTTAAGCAATAGGGATTCTGCTCTTTCATCCTCTAGTCTGAGAAGGCATCGCAACAGATTGAGAAGCAGAAGCAAACATCCTGGGGAACTGAGGGTCCTAAAGGGTGAAAATGGTGTGATGTGGTGGGGCAGAGGGCGAAGACTGGAGAGGACCCAAGTCCTCATGGGCTTACACCGAAGGGGGATTCTCATGAGCCCGGGTGCACATTCAGGACACACCAACAGCAGGAGGCAAGAACAATGGCAGTCTCAGTGGTCCTGCATGACTGCTCAGCACAGTGGGCATTCTCACCAGCTCAGAAGGTAACTAACATCACTTCAGATGCCCATGCCTAAGACCTGTGTTAAATCCAAACTTGTGGATTAAACTATTTGCTTCTATCAGATATCTTTACTTGGGTGAATGAAGTCATTTGTAAATGACTCTGAGCCATTGTATGATGTATAGCTAAAAGAAAGTGAGAATGAAAGTGATGGCTAACAGCGCACACTTATACAACTGACTTTCTCTTTAATCTTGTTTTGGAGAAAGGTCTCACTATAGAACTCTGGCTCGCCTTGAGCTCACGTTGCAGTCCCGGCTGGTCTCAAATACATAAGGATCTTCCTGTGTCAGCCTCCCAGGTGCTGGGATTACAGGCACACATCACCATGCTTGGCATTAGATATTTAACTTTCTTTTAAAAACATTTTTGTCTCACCAAAGACTAAACATAAACAGAGAAGGCAGAACTAGTATTTTCATTTTTATTGGTTTAACATACATGGTTTAATTATCAATTGAGTAAAATCTTAATCAACCATAAAATAGTCTGAGTTGAAAAAGAAGTGAAATTAATATCACAAAAATTAAAAGCAAACACAGCATTTCACATGTGAAATAATGCATCGGAAGTCCAGTGGAGCAAAGTTAATTCATATTGTTAGCAGCAGGGGAATGCAGAACACAAGCAAGAGGCATTTGGGCTCGGCGTCAGTGTCACAGATGGAAGGTACTCTTTCTACTCCTGATAAATTATTCAGCCCTATTGATTGATGAAATTGACTTTAAAGATAACTATAAACCAGAAAGACCTATAGTGCATTTTAGTCAATCTTTCTTTT